GATTCAGTTCAGGCAGGTCCAGTCCCCTCCTCCCAGGCTGAGCAAAGTGTCCCTGCATAAGCCCCAGGTTCCAAACAGCCAGCTCATGCACTGAGAACAGGTCCTGGTCCCAGTGCCTAGATGCCTCCCAAACAGATCAAGCTAATCAACTGTCTCACCTATTCAGAGGGCCTGATCCAGTTGGGGGCTCCTCAGCTATTGGTTCATAGTTCATGTGTTTCCATTCATTTGACTATTTTTTCCTGTGCTTTATCTAACCTTGGTCTCAACAATTCTTGCTCATACAAACCCTCCTCTTTCTTGCCAATTGGACTCCTGGAGCTCCACCTAGGGCATGGCCATGGATCTCTGCATCAGGTTCCCTCAGTCATTGGATGATATTTCTAGCATGACAATTAGGGTGTTTGGTCATCCTATCACCACAGTAGGTCAGTTCGGGCTTTCTCTCACCCATATTCCAGTAGTCTATTGTGGAGGTACCTTTGTAGATTTCTGTGGACCTCTCTAGCACTTTGCTTCTTCCTATTCTCATGTGATCTTCATTTATCATGGTCTCTTATTTCTTGTTCTTCCTCTCTGTTCAATCATACCACAAGGGCACTTGCTCAGCTATGTTCATATCAGCATTTTTTGTAATAGCCAGAACCTGGAAACAACCTAGATGCCCTTCAACTGAAAAATGGATAAAGAAAATGTGGTACATATACACAATAGAATACTACTCAGCAGAGAAAAACAATGACATCATGAGGCTTGCAGGCAAATGGATGGATCTAGAAAAAAATCATCCTGAGTGAGGTAACCCAGACTCAGAAAGACAAACATGGTATGTACTCACTCATAGGAGGATACTAGATGTAAAACAAATATGACTAGACTGCTACTCACAACTCCAGGGAGGCTACCTAGAAAACAGGACCCTAAGAAAGACACAGGGATTGCCCAATGACAGAGAAATTGATGAGATCTACATGAACAACATGGACGTGGGTGGGGGTAATGAAGGGCAAGGGTCAAGGGAAAGAGAGCTTAGGGGAGCAGGAGATCCCAGCTGGATCAAGAACAGAGAGGGAGACTTTCTTGACTTTGTCACTGAGGAGGTCCTTGGGAACTAAGTGAGAAATATTCCTCTTTTGTTAAGACTTCATGAAAATTGTTAGTTTTGGTCTGTGGCCTCATAGTATGTCTTTCTTCAGGCACAGCAGAATTTGTGAAACTACTTGTATTAATTACTTTTCTTCCTGCTAAAACAAAATATCTGACAAGAGCAATGTAATGAAGGGTTTAGTTTAGCTTACAGTTCCAGGGGGACACAGTCCATTATAGTGGGGAAAACATGGTAGCCGGTGCAGGCACCAACTGGTCATATTACACAAACAGTTAAGAAAGAGAAAACAGGAAGTGGGGCCAGGCTATCACATCTCAAAGTCCAGCACCCTATGGACCTCTTCTTCAAGCAAGGCTCCATTTCATAGCTTTCCCACAACCACCCAAGTGTCAACAGCTAGAGAGACCGAGTGATTAAACATGTGAGACTATAAGGAACAATCTACATTCAAACCACATCGGTATAGAAATTGTCATGGTGTAGAATGAATACACCCCTTCAGTGTGGTGTGTGCTCTCCTTGTCATTCACTGCATGTCAGCCATTGCACTAATATGTGTTTCTCCAATTTCTCTACCCCATGAAGTCCTAGCCATCTCAAGGTTCTCTTCAACTTGGATTCTCTGTGCTCATCTTCTGCAGAACTTCCACCCAAATTCTCTTGGGTCATTACCCTCTCCCCTTATGGATCATCCAAGATAACAAAGTAGGTGAAGGAATGAGTGAGCAGGTCAGAAATGACTCTAGAATTTAGACTCAGAACTTGGGGCCTAAGGCATATGGAAGTCTGATTCCATGAATAATGTAATGATTTTTCTGAAAGTAATGTTTTAAATGTAAAAATCAATAAAATATGGAGGAAGACAATAGGAAAAGTCAAGCCATTTACATTTTCTTCCATCTTCTTGTGGTCTGAACACAAGTAAACAGCGTAGACTAGCCTTACAGCTGTCTTGCTTCTAATTTCCTGGAATACATTGCATGATCTCTACATACTTTTTAAAAACTACATTGTGTGTGTGTGTGTGTGTGTGTGTGTGTGTGTGTGTGTGTGTGTAAAATGTGCACATATATCGGGGTTTTTTTTTTGTTTTGGTTTTTTTGTTGTTTTTTTTGTTTTTCAAGACAGGGTTTCTCTGTGTAGCTTTGCGCCTTTCCTGGAACTCACTTTGTAGACCAGGCTGGCCTCGAACTCACAGAGATCCAGCTGCCTCTGCCTCCCTAGTGCTGGGATTAAAGGCATGCGCCACCACTGCCTACATATATCTGTTTATCTGTGTATGTTATGCCACTTATATGCAGGTGCCTACTGAGGCCAGAAAAGTGTGTTGGATTCCCCAGAAGTGAGTTACAATGCGTTGTGTTCCACCAGATATGGATGCTAGAGATTGAGTTTGGGTCATTAGAAAGAGTAGTATGCACTCTTAACCTGACCTCCACACATTTTGAAAATCATAAGCAATGATAACCAATGGCTACAAATCAAAATGATGGCATTGTAAACTTCCTTTGATGTGAGTCTTGTACCCTCAGTCTACTTAAACAGTCTTTCTTTGAGAATACACTCAAGAATATGATAGTTAAAATTCTTATTGATAAATGCTATAATATACTTATTACAGTTATGGATTAACAACTTCCCAAACAAGCATAATTTAATCTTATTGGAGCATGGTTATAGATGTAATTTTTTATTTAACAATGTTAAGTACAACAGATGACAAACTCAGTATGTTATCTTTATTATATAACTGCTGTGGTCTAAGTGTACCCTCCAAAATCTATATGTTAGAAATGCAATCCTCAAGTGTTTTGTAGTTAGTTTCTCTAACTTAAACATTACCTTTAGGTTGAGGGAGCTTCCTAATCCGTGAAGTACTGGAAAGATGGCTCAGCAGTTAAGATCAAAATACTGCTCTTTTGTTCTCTTTCTAGTCCATATAAGGCAGCTCACAACCACCTGTAATTCCAGTCACTCTCTTCTGACCTTTAAAAACACCTGCTTGCACATACATATGCACACATACAAACACATACACACACACACACACACACACACACACACACACACATGACTGAGATAGAAATTTACAAGATTCATGGGGCCTATCTCCAAGGATAAAACACAGTAAACAATTGTTGGCCACAGGAGAATACGCAGTGTAGCTGCCTTCAGATTCTGAAAGGAGCTTCAAGGCTACAGCTGTCTTAAATAATCGCCCATCCTAGAGTAGGCATTTCTGTGATGCAGCTGCCTTTACCTGTAAGCAACTCCCATGGTTCACCAAATAGACTTAGATGGTTTTGTTTCTTTGGTCTCTCAGGGATGAGTGTTTGTTCAGGTTTTGCCAGAAAAACTCACAGAGCACCAAGGCAACAATTTTAAAAGTTGAGGATAGTAAGTGTTCTGGTCATGTGGGCTCTCCCTGTCTCACGAATGGAATCAAGCTGATATTGCCATAGGTCTTGTGGGCATGGGTTCTTCTGCCTCCTTTGATTCCAAAAAGGGGCTTAGTATTTTTCCTCTTTTGTTCCTGCACCTTCTGCCAGAGAAGGATGAAGCAAGAAGCTACACTTCAGATATCACCACTTGGATCTTAGAATTCCCAACCTTCAAAATCATGAGAGAATAAATTATCAACTGAGTGGTCTGTGGCTTTGTGTTATAGCAACATCCCATGGACATGGACAAAGACACCATCCTTGAGGGGTTTATTTATATGTTATAGCTGAAGGGATAGAGACTCAAAGACATAAGCTATCTAGAGCAGGAAGGAAAAGAATTGCTTAATGTAGCTGGAGAGTTTCTCTCCAGCTCCCACCAATCCCTGCCAGTCCGACAGCCCACTTATAAAATAAACACACAGGCACTTATATTATTTAAACTGCTTGGCCATTAGCTCAGGCCTGTCATTATCTAGCTCTTACTTTTATATTCAGCCCATTACTATTAATCTATACTTTGCCATGTGGCTCATGGCTTACTGGTACCTTACATCTTCCTTGTCCTGGCGGTGGCTGCAGTCTCTCTCCCTGCCTTCTTCTTTCCTCAATTCTCCTCTCTGTTAGCTCTGCCTATACTTCCTGTCTGGCTACTGGCCAATCAGTGTTTTATTTATTAACCAATCAGAGCTACAAATTTGCTATACAGAACATCCCACAGTAACTTAAACTCAAGTTATTGATCTAGACAAACTATATAGAGAGAAATAGAGGCAGCCTAGAATAGCAGCACACACCTATAATCCCACCATGCAGGACACTGAGGCAGGAAGCATATGTGCTCTAGGGCAGCCTGGGCTACACAGTAAGACCCTCCAGAGAAGGAAAGAGGAAAGGAGAGGGAAAGAAAAAGGAAAGAGAAATGAATCTTGGTACACAGACCAATTCTAAGCTAATCTTCCGTAAGTCTTAACTGAGAGAATATACACCAAAAAGAAAAAGTGATGAAAAAACAGAAAACCACTGGAATGAAAAAAATCAGTACTGAGAAATGTATTAATCTAAATTAATATTAATTAATTAATATTAATCTAAATTAACATTCAAATACATGCTGACTACAATTCCATATGAATACCAAATTGTAAATACAATACACAGAAGAGGAAGTTTTAAAATGCTTCATTTCTAGGACAGATATAAACAGTATGTTCTG